GAAAGAGTGGGAAGTAGGAAGGATTCCAAATGAGGTCTTTCACGGGCTTGGAAATAATGTACATCACTTATGCCCACATTCTGATACAGAGCTTGATCACATAACCCCATGTAGATCAAGGGAAAGCTAGAAAATCTTAACTAGTTGTGTACCCACACAAAAAATGAAATGAGTATTGGGAAAAACATAGCCAGTTTGTGCCACATGGGGCTTCTGCCCTATGTGAATTCCCTGATGATTAGTAAGGGTTGATTTCTGGCAGAAAGTTTTCCCACATTCTCCACATTTATAAGTTTTCTCCCCCGAGTGAGTTCTTGAATGATTAGTGAGGGTAGATTTCTGACGGAAATTCTTCCCACATGCATTACATTCATAGGGTTTTTCCCCTGTGTGAGTTCTCTGATGTTTAGTAAGAGTTGACTTCATATGAAAAGATTTCCCACATTCATTGCACTGGAAGGGTTTCTCTCCTGAGTGAGTTCTCTGATGTATATCAATGGCTGACTTCTGATGGAAAGTTTTACCACATTCATTACACTGAAAGGGTTTCTCTCCTGTGTGAGTTCTCTGATGTTGAATGAGAGCTGACTTCTGGCAGAAAGTTTTCCCACATTCATTACATTCATAGGGTTTTTCCCCTGTGTGAGTCCTCCCATGTTGAGTGAGGGATGACTTTCGGTAAAAGGACTTCCCACATTCACTGCATTTGTAGGGTTTCTCTCCTGTGTGTGTTCTCTGATGGTCTGTGAGGGCTGATTTGTGACTGAAGGTCTTCCCACATAAATTACATTCATAAGGTTTCTCTCCTGTGTGAACTCTCTGATGGACCATGTGCATTGACTTCTGTTGGAAGGACTTCCCACATTTAGTACATTCATAGGGCTTCTCCCCTGTTTGTGTTCTCTGATGCACTGTGAGGTTTGACTTGTGATTGAATGTTTTCCAACATTCATTACATTTGAATAGCCTCTCTCCTCTCTGATTTTTCTGAAATTGAGTGAAGTGTGACATTCTGCTGCAATTATTTTCAATTTGACTGCTTTCATGTTGCTTCATTTCCACGTAGATTCCATGACATCTCAAAAGAGAGGACTTCTCACAGAAAGTTTCCTCATGTCCGTTATATTCACAGAGTTTCTCTCCTGTATGAATTTGCCTATGTGGGATTATCACGGTCTTTTTCTCTAAGGCTTTCCCACCATTATTATATTTAAACGTCTTCTCTGAAGTTTGGATGTTTAGGTGCTGAATAATACCATTATTACAATCAAGGGCTTTCTCATTTTGATTATTTTCATAAGAATCCCCTTGAGTATGAGATTTTTCCTCCTTAATAACAAATAATTTCTCATGTATATTTAACACATCAGGCTTCTTTCCTGAAAAGTTTCTATTACTACTAATTGATACTGAAGTATTTTTCAAATTTGTTCTATATAAGTCATATTTATAAGGCATTATTCTTGAAGAAACAAAGTTTGTGCTCAGATGATTTTCCTAAAGCATTAACTTTCTCTGAAGTCAATGTTTTGTTGTTGAATGCAACTTGTGGCAAATATTTGTCTTGGTTGTCCTGGATTCTCTCTGTTAGGTCATGAGTTTTGCAGTCTTCTAGAAATGAAAATATTGAACATACCATAAGAATTTGAACAGATTTCTAATAGAATTGGACTAAGATACAAATGTCATACTATATATATGACTTTTGGTTTCAGGAGTCTCTCAAGATCAAAGTGACTCTTCCCCATCTAGTTTGTTTGGGAAAGCAAATGTGGAGAAAAGGGAGAAAAGCTAATAATAGGCAGACGTAATTATTCAGCATTTTACAAACAGAACTTTCAAAGTGGGTAGAAATGAAAATGTAAACTCAAGAAACAGCAAATAGAGGATGGAAGATTTTACAGAAGTGGTAGCTTCGGGTAGGAGGAAAATCACAGAGACTGGGATGGGTACAACTGAGCTAATGAAGAGTAATTTCAGTGACAAGGAAAACCAGTAGATAAAGGTGTTAATGGGGAAAGTAAAGAGATGGACTACAGAGTAGGTCTAATACCCTCAAATCTACATTGTTTTTAATAACATTGTGACAAGTTTTCATGCTCCAGTTGAACTTCCCTTATTTCCAATCTACATATAACGGCAAAGTAAATCTCTGAATGCACCAACTGCCTCATGTTTGAGGGAAGAGTTATTAGATTGCACTCTAATTTCCCTTCTAGCCATGATTCACAGGAATGTACAAAAGAAAGTACAAAACAATGGCAGACTAAGTCACCTGTGGCAATCTAGATCTGACGCATTGCTCTATTTTGGCTGTGATACCTTAATATTGATCTATCATAGTTGTTCGACAGGTAAACTACCATGATAATCACATTTACTTTCGCTTACTTTTCCTTAAAACCTTGCCCATGCCACAATACTAACACTTAATTTTGCTTTATATTTCACATCTCACATTTCTACATTTCAGGCTTCTACATACTATTAGAATTTAATGGACATATTTTTCAATCCAGTCCTAGAAAATGAGTAACAATCATGTTTATTTATCATTTAGAAAGTCTTGTTCACATTTGTTATCCAGTGCAACAAAGTCTATCCCAAGCTGAAAAACCACTGACCAAGTATCACATAGAAAACTATTACAAGTCATCATTCTAGCAAACAAAATTTACACCAATTAAATGCCCATCAGATTTTCAAGCTACCAATCTACAGCTCCATAATCAATAACCCCTGCCCCAGTCTAGTCAGTTGTCTCATTGAACTGTCCACTCTTCACAACAAGCTGAAAATGTGTTCTCTCACTCAGCCTTGGTTCTATTTAGTATCTAGAAAAAAAATGTCATAATGATACTATTACTCCAAATCTCCACAAATGCCTTCTCAAATCTTCCTACTTTCTAAACTTTCAAAAGTTACATTTACTCTAAATCTAAAAGTAATTCCTGTCTAGACCACATGAGTAGCATCATTCTACAAATTTATTCTACTGTCATTTCCTGGGACCAGTCAAATAGAAATCACTTGGATAAGTGGTATGAAGAAAATAAAACTGGGGAAAATTCTATGTGGGGTTTTAGTTAAGGCAGTACATTTGAAAGGAAATGAAATTTGAAATACTGTAGACAAAATAGTGTCTCATGTTTGTTTTAATATTTCTTTGATTTCTAGTGATGTTACATATTTTTCATATACTTAGTGACTAATTGTACTTTCTTTTTTAGTATTTACTTAAAATTTTTTGGGGGCTGCATCGGGTCTTAGTTGTGGTAGGTGGGATCTTTCATTGCGGTATGTGGACTTCTCTCTAGTTGTGGCGCAAGGGTTCCAGAGTGCATGGGTTCCGTAGTTGCGGCACACGGGCTCTCTAGTTGTGATGCACGGGCTCAGTAGTTATGGCACCTGGGCTTAGTTACCCTGCGGCATGTGAGATCATAGTTCCCCGGCCAGGGATTGAACCCGTGTCCCCTGCACTGGAAGGCGGATTCATAACCACTGGACCCCCCAGGGAAGTCCCTGTACTTTCTCTTTTATAATTACATTTCAATATTTCTAAGACATGCATTTTTTCTCGTATTTTAACAGCTCTGAAATTGGATCTTGTAATGCATCTTAAAGTAAATGGTATGTCATAGTTTAGTTGTCCATATATTTTCTTTTGCAACAGTAAATAGAATATTGAGGCATCTGGCAGTCCACTGCATTGTAGATTGAATGAAAAGCTGCAGCAGGATATTCTTTTTCTATTTTTATTGCATGTTAGATGTTCATCTTTCAACTGATTTGTAAGAACAGTTTATCAAGTGAAATCTCTGTCTCGTAATTATTAAATATATTTTCTCAGTTTTTGTTTTAACTTTCTGTTATATCCTTTCTGGTTTCTGCCTTTTGTTTCATGCTATATCAAATTATGTTCTTTAAAATCTTTTATTTATATTCTAGGTAATTGATGGTTTACTTTTTAAATTTACATGCTGAATTCATGTACCATTAACCTTATTTTCTCAAATCATTAACTGAACATTCCAAACTATCTCCATTGTTTGAAATAACAATTTAAAAAATAAATTTATGTATTCATTTATTTTTGGGTGCGTTGGGTCTTCGTTGCTGCACGCGGGCTTTTCTCTAGTTGCGGCCAGCGGGGGCTACTCTTCATTGTGGTGCATGGGCTTCTCATTGCGGTGACTTCTCTTGTTGAAGAGCACAGGCTCTAGGCACGCAGGCTTCAGTAGTTGTGGCTCGCAGGCTCTAGAGCGCAGGCTCAGTAGTTGTGGCGCACAGGCTTAGTTGCTCCGCGGCATGTGGGATCTTCCCGGACCAGGGCTCGAAACTGTGTCCCCTGCATTGGCAGGCGGATTCTCAACCACTGCTCCACCAGGGAAGCCCTGAAATAACTATTTTAACATATACTCAATTCTTATGTATTTGGATCTGTTTCCGTTCTTTGAAGCCAGCACCAAACTTTTAAATTATGTTTATAATAATATGCATTTCCAATAAAATTTCCTCCCTATTCTCTGAGGTTATGTATTTCCTGATGAAGTTTAAAATTGTCAAGGAAAACAAAACCAAACTCTCAGAAAAAAATTGTCATTTTGATTTAAATTGTTAAGTTTTATAGTTTCCTGTAAGAGTAAATACAAATATTAAAAAATTGAATTTTCCCTGGTTCAAAAAGGGGAAAAGATTTTCCTCCCCTCTTTTCTTAGAGCATTTCCTTGAGAAAACTTGTAACTGAAATCCTTTTTTCTGTCCCTTTGAGATGCATGCAAATGTTTTTAAAAAGTAAATAAACCTCTTGTTAGTTTTACAACCCAGGAATATCTTTGTTAAAGGCCTTGGAGCTATGTCTTTGAAATGTAAATAAACATCAAGGACGATAGCACCCCATCTCCCTGTGTCTGTGGTAAACTCCTAGGCTTTTGGCTACAAGTTGTAGATACTTGCTTGTCATAGAGATGCAAGAAGCTTTACTTTTCATTTGGATAAAGGCAATTAACTAATAGAAATGGCCACCCCAATTACCGTGTGAATTTAGGATGAACAATGTGTAGTAAATGGTGTTGTCAAGTTCTCTTAGTACATAGAAAGGGTTGTATCTGCCTGGCTACATAAAAGTATGATATTTCTGTCTGCAAACTCATTAGCAGATTGCCTGGAATGCGCATTGCAGTCTAGTTTAATGCTTAGTTCATTAATAAAATAATTAATAATAATAATTTTTTCTTTCTCCATTTGTGGAGAGGATTTTCTGGGTTGGCAAGACTATTTTTAATCATTTCCCCAACACCTCCCACCGAAGATACTGGTGTGTGTGTATACAGCTATGCACACATGTGCACACATTATTCAGATATGTATATATATTTTCTCTATATGGATTCCACGTTTTTAAAGTTAATTTTATTATAAAAATTTAGTATTTTTGTAATTACTTTGAGAGGAAACATTTCTATTGTTGGCCCAGAGTAAACTGATGTCATAAAGTGAGATCAGAAAATCAGCATACATTCAGTATATATTCCTTAGTGAAGTGATAGTCAAAATATACCATTAGCGTAAAATTTGAGTAAAAATCGCAGAAGAGTGTGCACCTAACATTAAGCGAGGTTTTTTCCTTTTGTAAAGTGGGATGTGTGCGACTCGTCTTCTGTTTTAGCTTATTCATGTTTTCATCACGTTTCATATGTCATTTCCATAATTCTGAAAGCTAATACTCCTAAAATAAAGTCAGCTGTAACAGGGTGTTATTCTTTGAATGTACTACTGTACTTAGTTCCGAGTACTACCTTTCGATTACTATCGATATTCATCGCACTACCTCAAGGTAGCTTCCTGCTTTCAAGCGGGTGGCCAGTTCTAATCTGTTACCGCTGCGAGTGAGGAAAGGACCGGACCAGAAGAAAACACTCGGACCGCGGGAAGAAGCCGACCCTCGTGACGTCATCCGAAGTGGAGGCTCCGGGAGGCTCCCGGGACGCGCAGTGCCTGCGTGGGGCGCGGGAGTGTTCCGCGCATGAGCAATTCCACCTCCCCTCAGCAGCCGCCATTCTCCGTCTCGCTCCCAGGCGGGGAGAGGACGCAGGCGCCTCCAGTCCGCTCGGCGCCGCAGAGGGCGGGGCCTGGAACCTTCGCGGGCCGGGAGCTGAGGCCGAGCCCCTGCAGGTGTGTCGGAGGCTTCGGTGCGGGCGCTAGGCCGAGGGCGGGGGGAAGCCGGTCTCCGCGGCCGCGCCGAGTCGGAGACCCTGGCAGCCGCCGCTCCCCCCTCTGAGCGCCGGACTGGCCTCCGAGGAGGACTGGGGAGGAGGCCAGGCAGGGGGCCTGGCGGGGAGGCTGGCTGTCCGCAGTGCGGTTCCTCCCCAGAAGCCTTGTTTCTCGACCTGCGTGAAAGGGGCAGCTGGAGGAGGCCTGGGGCGCCGGGCTTATAGCGGGACGTACGTGCGCGAGAACCTCCGTTTGTGACGTGGATGCCAAACCCGTCACGTCGGCGCTGGCGCGTGGGCGGCGCAGGCTGCTGGAGACGTGGGTTGTAAAGCCTGAGGGGCCCGGGCTTAAGGCCAGCGCCCGCCGGTAAATGGGCAGGTTAATCTGGGTACGACTCGGATACTCATCTGTAAAATTATAATAGCCTTTAGGGTCGTTTCTTGTATTGAATAGGGTAGTGTATATAAAGTACGGTAAGGATTCAATAAAGGTGAGCTGCTTTTCTCATTAAAAGGTATGCTGTTCTTTTCATTATTGGCTCATTTAATCATCTTAATCATCATAACCATCCTTTGAATCCGTATTTACCACCTCCATTTTAATAAATACAAGTACCGAAGGTTCAGAGAGATAACTGGCTTAGCCATCATTAGCAGGGATTTGTTTTACTCTGTATTTCATGCTGTTTTCCTCCCTAAAATCCACAGCCTTGGGTTGTATTTAATCCATTGATTGTCCCTGAGCACCACCAGAGTAGAGTGTAGTGGACCTAATCGTACAATGTAGTATTCTATTTTCAAAAATTCTTGAGGCTTCCTTAGAACTCCTGTGTAAAAGGTTAATTAAGACTCTTCCTGCATTCTCTAACCTGTCTCGATACCCAGACGACTGTTACACATGTGAATTTAAACCATAGTTGAAACCCTGAATTTTAAGTTTTAATGGAGAAGCTGAGAATCCTATCCAGGCCACAGGGGAAATGGGACAGACTTTTTAAAAGATGAAAACTGCGATTTCATCCATGCTCCATATGATGAAAGTGATATCATAACGCCTCTGACTGGATGGTGTATCTAGGCTTTAGTAAGTAGGCATCATGTAAGCACCAGGGCAGCTGGAAGTGGTTTCTTCTGCATATGAGAAGGCCCTCGGCATTTGGCACCTTTTGCTCCCCAAGTGCCTATTTTGGGATTATGGTGCCAAATTGTTATTTTAGAAGTTATATTTGTGTTAGTGTCAACAGTTTAGATGGCCATGTCAGAATTCATCAAGGCCTAATTACATTTTACTCTAGGCCCCAGCCCAGGGTTGGAGGGGACAGTGAATTCTGGGGTTCTGTTGGATTTGTGGTACTGAATGAAGATTTATAGAATCAGAATAGTACATGATTGTTAAAATTACCTAATTCCTTCTCATGTTAAAGATAAAAATAAGTGGGAAGCAGCCACATAGCACAGGGAGATCAGCTCGGTGCTTTGTGACCACCTAGAGGGGTGGGATAGGGAGGGTGGGAGGGAGGGAGACGCAAGAGGGAAGAGATATGGACATATATGTATATGTATAGCTGATTCACTTTGTTGTACAACAGAAACTAACACACCATTGTAAAGCAATTATACTCCAATAAAGATGTTAAAAAAAAGATAATAACATAGAAACTAAGATAGTCACTAGGTTTGTTAATAGCAGAGTTTAGCATAGAACCGAAGCCTCCCTGTCACTGTACCATATTTTAGTCAAAGTAGGGTTTTTGGCAAGTGATTCTGGAGAAACTGAAATTTAGAGAGATGAAACATCTTATTTTCGAGAGCTCTGAAGACTTTCTAACCTTGTGGTGTTTATAGTATCAATAGGAAAAATTGTTATGACATGTAACTTAAAAGATTTTCCATATCAATAGATGTTTCTCTTCAACATCATTTGTAATGTCAGCATAGGGTTCCATACTTTGGATATATATTATATACCTTGCTTAACTAATCTGCTATTATTGGACATTTAAGTTTTATATTCTTTTGTGTTATTTAGTAATGGACATATAATTTTCAAAACAGCCAATAGGAAAGAAATGTTTAGATTCAAAACTGTCCCAGATTCATCAAGATTATATGAGAGTCACCAGTGGACAGGTGGGTACTCCTTTATCATGGTCCTTCCTATTCCTTCTCATGGCTCAAAGAGACATTTTCCCAGAGGTTTATCTTTTACTAAAATGTTATGTGTAAATTTCTCACAGGTGATTCCTGACTGCAAGATAAGGTCTCTTATGACTTTTGTCTTCCAACTTTCCCTGTTCTGACTTCATAGTTTCTATACTTTCCAATAGCAGCAGAAAATGAACAAGTTCCGGGTGAGTCATTTATTTACCTCTTAACTTTATTTCACTCTGTGTGTGTGTGTTTTCAGTGAATTTTATGAAAGAGAGCCCATATATTAAATTAGAAAAGTGGAAATCATTAAAAATCACCTTCAGGGAAAATACTGTTTGAATACAACAGCAGTTCCAAGGCGTGGTCTGGGAGCCCCAAGACCCTTTCCGAGGGTTTGTGAAGTCAAAACATAATACCAGGATGCAAATTGCCTTTTACACTGATGACATTAGCACTGATGGTGTAAAAGCAATAGATTGCTGCCTATCTGGCATACATCAGGATGATGACAACAATGACATTGTCTTCCTCTGCAGTAGTAAAAAAAACTGCCACCTTTACTTAAGGATATCCTTGATGAAACAGTAAAAGTTACTAATGTTATTAAATCTTGACCCTTGAGTACACATCTTTTTAATATTCAGTGGGATGAAATGGCAAGTTCACCTAAAGTACTTTTGCGGCATACTGAAGTATGATGGTTGGTTGTCTTGAGGAAAAGCACTTGTGCGATTGATTTGTGAGCTCACCTAGCCACTTTTTTTCATGGAATATCATTTTTATGTGAAAGAGCAACTGGCAGACAAACTACGGTATTCAAACATTTTCTCAACAATGAGTGATGTGAGCCTGTCATTTCAAGGAAAATAACTTAGTATTTGTTGCTAATATTAAAAGTTGCGCTTTCAAGTGAAAGTTAGTATGTTGGAAAACTTGTGAAGTTGACAAATGCTGATACTTAAAGACTTTTCTGATGAGATTGGTAAGGATATTAACAAATGTGATTCTTTAATACTAAATAATAAAATGTGTCAACATTTGAGTAATATTTCTGATGTATCTGCTCAGAGGCAAACTCAAGCAGTTTAAGAGGACAGAGTGTTAGAAGTGAGGAACAGAGAATAAGTTGGTTAGGGAATGCCACTCTAAAAGGTAATATTTGAGGAATATCTTGAATTAAATGAGAGACAGCCAGGTAGAAATCTGGAGGAAGAGCATACTACATAGAAGGAATAGCAAATGCATACACCCTGAGGCATGTTCCAGAAACAGTAATTAGGATACTGAAACTAGAGAGAAGTGAACTTGGGGGAGAACAGTAAGAGGTAAGATCTAAGAGGTAGAAGGGAGTAGAATGTATATGACTTTGTAGGCTGTAGAAGACGTGAATTTTGATTTTATTGGTTCATTAAATATTAAAAAAATCATACTTTATGCAAGTAATATACATAATGTATATGTATAATTTAGGAAATACTGATTAAGTAACACCACTGTATCCCATATCTGGCTTAAGCAATGAAAATTACTAGTACTTTTGAAGCCCTGGTATGACCTTCCTTAATCTCACCCCACCATTACCCAGAGAAAAGGAATCCTGAATTCTGTGGTAACCATTTCTTTGCTTTTTAAACTTAATTTTTAAAAACAAAACAGCATATTTAGCAATTAATTAAATGCCCAGCCCTTTGGTAAGCCCTTGAGATAGTTTATCTTACATAATTCTCACAGCCAATTTTTGAAGTGTTGTTATTATTACTATAACATAAATTTTCAGTGTGGACATTATCTATTATTAATTAGAGATCATAGCCTTTAGGCCTGATGGTGGAAAGAAAGAGACTCTAGAAAAATTTAATCTATTCTATGGTTCTGCTTTGGTCAGTCTTGAACACATTTATACCTTATATATGAAAATTTCCTTATCCAGCATTTGTTCAGGTGTGGCACATGATGTTTTTCTTACCTTATGCTCTGTAATTAACTGCTGAATGGTCAGTCTGGAAGAAAAGAAATAACTAGTGAGCCTTTTTGTTTTTTGAAGGAGTTTTAAGTACAGTCATCACTACCTACTCTTGGAAAAATTTATTTTGTGCAGAAAATTGGATTTTTTTAGGCATTTTGGCCAGATTAGAAAGTCTTTTTTATTCCTTCTTGCATCTCTCAAGTTCTGCTGCCATCAATTTCTGCTGTTTGAAAACATCCTTTATAGTTATTGTTTTTATTCTGCTTGCTTGTTGTTTTAGTGAGGGTCTGCTGGTGGAAAATTCTCAGTTTTCTTTATATGAAATATCCACGAAGAGCTTTTTCACTGTGTATAGAAATACTGGTTGACAGTTCTTACCTTTTAAAACACTGAAAAGCATTCATTGTCTTCTACTACTGGTACTATTGAAAATTCACCTGTTAACTTGTCACACCTTTGAAATAAATTTGTCTGTTTTGGGCTAGCTGCTTTTTAAGATATCTTTTATCCTAGTATGTTTATATTTATATTTCTTTTTATCCTAATTAGATTTACTGTACTCCCCTTGGGTTGAATATTTGAGTATTTTGTGTATTACATTGTATCTCCTTTACTGACTTTGAAGCTTTATTTTTGTGTGTTATTTTGCTTATTGCTGAATCTGGAGATTACAACATGCACCATTAAAATAATGGTGTCTTCAAATACTGTATTCATGAACAGTGTAATAAACTTTTATCAGTATAATTCTCTTTACAGCCTCCTCACCCTGTGGTCCTTGTCTTATATCTCACTTATACATATATTTTTAACCCCCAATACTTGTTATTTTTGCTTTAAACAATATTCATCTTTTAAAGAAACGTGTGTGTGTTTGTGTGTGTGTGTGTAAATAAACCTCTTTTGTGTTTATGTACATATCTGCTTTGGGAGCTCTTTATTCCTTCCTACAGGTCTGGGATTCTCTCTGATATCTTTTCCCTTCAGCCTAAGCAACTAATTATTTCATGTATTATTTCAGCACTGATGGTTACAAATTTACTTGGCTGGTCTTTCTGAAAATGTCTTTATTTCACCTTGGTTTTTGAAGGATATTTTGCCGGATATAGAACTTTGTCGAGAGTTTTCTTTGTATCTGCATTTTTAGGATGTCTTTGTCTTCTGGCTTCTGTTGTTTCTGATGAGAAGCTAGTCTTCATCTTACTGTTATCCACCTGAATATAATGTGTTCTTTTCCTCTGTGCTTAAGATTTTCATTTTATCTTTAGTTTTCAATAGTTAGACCATGATG